CCCTCAGCTGCTTTGTTTTATCAGGACTGGCAGGTGTGGACTCACTGAGGTGATGTACACTGAGCAACATGAACGCAGCACTCTGCTCTCATGTTTCACAGGTGTCATTTAAAGGCACACTTCGCAGGATTTGTCACTTACTGTTTGTAAACACAACATTCACACCAGGCCCCTCCCCCTCCTCAGCTCAACGACACTGAGAGAGCAGCGGTGAGCATGAGAGTGAATGAAGAGAGGGAACGAATCAGTGAATCACAAATGAAACATTATTTTCTGATTGTTTCACAGCAGTTACGCTCTAAAGCACAAATAAACAACCCAGTGACAAAAACGTGTTGATTAGCTTTCAGCAACATGTTGTACATGTGTTATAAGAATCACAGAAATCAATAATCAATAAAACAAGAATAACAGTTGAAGTTGTTCAGAAAAATAAACAATAAAAGAATATATCTCATTTTAAAGTAATAATAAAATGTACAAATTAACTTTTTAATTGAACTAGAAATGCACCTATTTTGAAATTCTAGGCCGATACTGATACCACTGTTTAAAATAACACTTTCACCAACAGCCAATACCGTTGTTTTAATTTTGGTGTTTCTTTTGTTATTTACTCTTCTTTTGTTGCCACGGAAACACAGACATCTACACTATAAAAAATAAATGAACAGTCCTTTGTTACACTTCACACCCTTGAATGAGCACAAATTCAATAATACACATTTATAAAACAACCTTTAACACGACCTTCTTTCACATGAAAAACATCTTTAAAAAATAAGTAAAAGCCTTTTACTGTATGTGATCCATCATAGTTCATCTCTAATATCTAGTTCATAGTGCTGTGAAAACATCAACACATTTCTTCTTCAAACAGCAGATTTATTCAAGTTTCTCACCAAAACCTCCATTTTACAAGATTACACTGAACACATCATGAGAACGTTGTAATGTACCTTTGCCTAATACTCATTTTAACTGAACAGAGCTTGAACGCTTTACAATGTAAATCAATGGAACCACCGTCAGCTGTGCGTTGTGGCCACCAGCTGCTTAAAGGTAGCGATAACTAGCTGCTAACAGCTAACAGCTAACTTAACAAGCTTGTTTTTTTTATCATGTTCTTTCTCTGCACATACACTCCTCTCAGTAGTGAAGTGGTAGTTAAGTCGTTTTGACGTGGAAAAGATACAGCGTGTTTCAGAGTTCATGTGACGTGAGATAACTCTGCCCATCCCCCCCCCCCCCTCCCCCCCCCAGAGAGCAGGTAAAGTGTACCGAGCTGAGGAGGGGGGCCGGGGGGCGGAAGGAACCCAGAAAAAAAAGCCGTCTCTAATATTTACTCGGCTTTGATATGTGGTTATATTGTTGTGTCTCATTTCACAGTAATATTAGTAACAGTATCAGTAAAAAAGTAGTAGTTATTTTGTATAGGGGGGTGACAAAGTAATTAAGAGAGATGATTCGGACTGGGTATTGGACCGCAGTTGGTTGTGTTTGCCATGACAGTCGTTTGGTTTTCTATGACAACAGCAGATGTAGGATGCTTTCACTTCGATGGCTGCTCACATTTTGTCCTGAATCAACCTGGAACATAAAGACAGAAGGAAAGATTTGGCTTCAAACGGAGACAACGGGAACTGCATTTCGTCCAGTGTCTCCTCTTGCATCTACAATCACACTTCAGTCTCTGGAGGAAAAAAAGAGAAGATGATGACAATGTTTTCATCTGACCTGAGAGCTGCTGTCTGTCACACTGAGAGGAAGAAGAAGAAACACCGTTTACCTGCTGACAGCAGCTCAAACACAGAGTCAAACACCTGTGACGGGCTCAGATAAACAGAAAGGAAGTCAGCCGTCCTGAGCCCCACCCTGTCAGTCACAGCACCTCCCCCAGGAGGAGGAGGAGGTGATGAAGAGGAGGTGAAGGTGGAGGAGGAGGTGATGAAGAGGAGGTGAAGGTGGAGGAGGAGGTGATACGGAGTCAAACAGCCCAAAGATATTAAGATATTCGCACGACAACAACCAAAATGACTGTCATGATTACTACAGTGAGGAAACACACACACACACACTGTCATGTTTTTCTATCAATGTGAGGTCCTTGAGAATGACAGTAATTGTGAGGACTTTTTAGTGACTGAGGACAAATATGACCAGTGGAAACATTTTTGAAAAGTGAGGATATTTTTGAAAGTTAAAGGCAGTTTTGATAAGTCAGGACTTTTTTGATAGATGAAAGTCGGGACATTTTTACAAAATGGGGACATTCTTGGAAAGTTAGGACATTTTTCAAAGTATGAACATTTTTACAAAGTGAGAACATTTTTGACTAGTGAGGGTAGTTTTTGGTGATTGAGGACATTTTTATAAAGTGGGGACATTTTTTGGAAAGTGGGGACGTTTATACAAACGATTCCAGCAAAGACAGAAGATTTTTGACAAGTATTTTTGTTGTGTGAGGATTTTGTGACAAAGCAGTGACATTTTTGAAAAGTAAGTACATTTTTACAATTTTTTTAGGCAGAGGCATGCTTTAGGGTTAAGCTTGAGGTTAAGTTTAGTCTAAGGTAAGGGTTAATATCCTATAATTTGTGATGTCAGTAGTCAAGTATTGAATTACAGACACACACACAGAAACACACAGAGATATATTCCGTCCTCCTGCTGAGCTGTCACTCAGGTGGAGCGTGTACTGAAACAGCAGGTCACATGATCAAACACGAACCAGACGACCTGCTGCTGTGAATCTATTTGAGCTCATTTTAAAATTCAGTCTGAGCTGAAATCCTGCTGAGAGTCTATGGGTTGGTTCAGTCCATCTCTCAGTTCCTAAGAACATTTCTGAGACAATGAAGGGTCACTTAAAAAATGAGTCGCAGTTTAGAGTCTACTTTTTCTATCAATATACAGTCTAGTTTTAAATAGCAGAGAAAAAAATCAACATTATTTCAGCTTTAGTTTTAGATGAACAAAGAAAATGTGGTCTACATGTTGTTGAAAATACCCTCGAGGTGCAGTTTCTTTATGTTTTCAGGTTTACTAACAATTGTTTTTGGAAGTTGAAAAATAGTTTGAAGCAGAAAACACAAAATCCTAATATATAATAACATTTAATTGGTTCATTCTTTTAGATTTTAAAGTGAAGTCTGTGAAAACCAGAAGCTCCACGTGCTGATCTACAGATTCACCAACTGTAGGCATAAAAAGACAGATAAATACTTTATTAAACCCCAGAGGCAAAACCTCATGTCACTGCAGCAGTGCCCAAATGAAACCACTGCAAAGAACACAAACACTGACAAAAGAGTTGAAAGTTAAAAGTATGCCCTTAAAAGATAGAGCGTGCAAATTACTGTAAGGTGTTCAAATTGAATGTAATTAAGAGTCATAAGTTAAAAAGATGTTTGGCACTTTGCCAGAATTTAAAAGGAAAGCAACAGAGGAGGAACACTGCTGGAAGGAAAACTCTGATGCTGAATATGGTTTATGACCTGATCTTTAGTACATTTTTTTTTCATGCCAAAAGAAACAGAAAATGAGCGAAACTCACATGAAACCAGGAGGAAGTCGGGGTGAACTGATGGAAGTGTCTAAATGCTAAACCAGAGACCAAAGTTGTTGTTTGCTGTTTGTCTCCCACCAACAGACACAGCTGCTTTCTTTTCAATCATTCAATGGCGAACACAAATTTCTTCTTCTAAACCCGGGGGCTACAACCTTTACTAACAAAAGAGGCATTTTTGCCCCAAACAAAGAGAAAATAAAAAATGCCTGGAGCCACAAAAACAAAGCCTTATATTGAAGGTTACGCAGCCTGTTAGGGTTTCTACCATTTGTTTCCCCATCCAAGGTTTTTTTAGGGAGTTCTTCCTTATGTCTTTTGTGAGGGTCCCAAGGACAGAGGGACGGCATATGATGTAAAGCCCTCTGAGGCAAATTGTGATTTGTGATATTGGGCTTTATAAATAAAATTGGATTGAAATTAAGTCTAAATTAGCCAACAGGTCTAAATTAGCACACATTAATATGTTTTAACTCAACATGGTCACTATGGAGTGGTCTGTTTAATGATTATTTGGTTCTCTAACTTTGCAGTGTTGGTGGTGAAAGCATATGAACCTGTTCACACATTATTAAATCCTCTTTTTTTCCCCCTTTGTGGGATTAAGAATTCAAAGCTATCTGAGCACGACCGGCCAGCGATTGAGGTTTGGCAAAACTTAGGGTGCTCTCACACCTGCCCTGTTTGGTTCAGTTCAATCAAAACATTGTTTTCTAGTTGGAGCCGCGCCTCGTTTTCAAACTGTATGTTTTGACTAAAATGAACAATGACAGCAATATAGTCCACGATGAGCAGCGCTAAAATCAACCTGCGTAGTTGTCCCTCCATTGTGACATTAGAAAGTGTCACATTTATCTCGCAAGTGTACTCTTCTTCAACGTTTGCTTTACTTCCTGGATTTTTCCCACATGGAAATTCTGACCAATCAAGAGCAGCTTTCTCACACAAGGCATTTGATCTGGTCTTCTTGTAAATGCTGCCGTGAGAACACGAACCAACTCTAGGCAATTATACAACTTTGGAACAACATGAGTCCCTGATTCAGACCAGAGGAGACGACTCTAGGACTGACAGCAGCCTCAGAGGAAAAGACACTCGAGGCCTTAGAGTGACGGAGCAAATTTTAGTTGATGAAATGTTGAAACATTTTTTTATTCAGTGAAGAGGCTACACACTTTTACAATTGAAGAATTTAAGAATCACTTTCAAGCAACAACAGTGATGAATGAACATTAAAATCTTAATTTATTTCTTTGACGTCACAGGGAGCCACTGCAGAGGGGCCAAAAAGGCCACATGTTGCTCCTGACCCAAAAAAGACACAGCAGAGCGGTAGTGAGATGTCCTGACAGACACCCTCTTTAATTGTGAGACTGTAGATTGATGTCGACTTCTGTTGTGTTAATTAAACCCGAGTGTGTCCTCCCTGCAGGTCAATCCACTGCCGTCTGGGTTCAGACGTCTTCCAGAAGCTGTACGATAAGCTGAAGGAGGCCAGACAGCGTGACAGCGGCGTCCCCGAGGCTCTGAGTCACCTGGAAGACAAACCTGATGATGGTTTCCAGGTGGACCAGCTGCTCTTCTACGAGGAGGAGCTGCAGAGAGTGAGACAGCTGCAGGAGGACAGACCACCTGTCTGACTGTCTCTGAGAAACAACTGAACTGTAGAAAGAAACATCAGAGCAACAAGAAGCTGAGGAAGAACCAGGTGTGATGTATGACAGGTAAACTGTGAGCTGTAACATAAGAAACATTATACATAGAAATGATTTGAGATTTTACATTAATTCATATTCTACCCGGCAGTTTATAAATTAAAATGGGCTCCACTTCTACATTAAACTGATGAACACATTAATGCATCAATAATTATTATCCAATAATATGATATATTACTAACAGCAGTGCTCGGTGCTTTAAGAATATTTTGATTAGGGCTGCTCCCTAACAGTCGGCCAAACGTTAGTCGACCAGGAAGGTCATTACTCAGCAAGACTTAATTGGTTGCTTAGTCGCAGGAAAAAAAAAATGAAACTCTATGAGGAGCTGCTCCTTGTCAAAATAAATCCAAACCTATATGACTGGACCATGTGTGACTTTACTTTGAAAGGACAGACACAGGAAGTGTCCACGCTCAGCAGTCAGACAGGAGTCAGGTTAATTTCCAGGGCTGGTACCTGCGGTTATTCCACAGGCTAGTTAATAACATGTCGGGCAGGAAATCCAAAGTGTGGGATCATTTTGAGAAGGTGAAGGACGAACCCAAGGTGATATGTAAACTCATCTTCATTGGTCGACTACAAACATGAC